CAATTATACATCTTTTCGGTACCTGTCCTAAAAATATATTATCAAGAGTTTTTCCTTGAACACCCGAAGGAATTGTTAAAACTTTTACTTCAGCTCGAGTAATAGGATATTTAGCAGTGGTAGAAGCTAAAACTTTTTGATGTGCGAGTAATACACTTGGATTAATTCGTGCTCGTCGAACAATAAGAGTTGCGTCCGTAATGCAAACTTTAAACTTTACATCGTTTGACCCAACAATTAAATTAAAACTCTCTCTTGATCGAACCAATTTAACACTCATTTCAACACCATTAATTAAAAATTTATCTTGGTTAAAAATGTCACCGTGAAGATGACCAATCATTTCTATTTCCTTACTTTCACTAATCAATTCCTGTCTTTTAACAAATCCTATGTTTTTACCATCTGTAGAATCCATTTTTCCTGCTGTATCCTCATACCAAAGACTACAAGTAAGATGAGATTGTTTAGCAGCAGGGGCATAGTTTAAAAGGGTTTCCATGTATGCTCGATATGCATAGGTATTATTAGGTGGTGATACAAGTTTTTGGTTTAAATAAACATCAAGTTGACTAAAAAGTGAATGCAGCCAATTATTTACAGGTGCTACTATTGTAGTAGATACCAAGTTAGTTGAATCTTGATTTAATACTTTTGCCTTTATGTGGAGTAATGTATGAGACAAATCTATGTAGTCATCGCCGGTCCCAGGAACTTGAAACTCGATAGGTCCATCATCACCAAGAGATGAAATTGGTTTATAATGAATCCACAATCCATTTTCAATGCTAGTTTGTGTAGACGGTAGTGCAAACAAATCCAATTCTGACTTAACGCACTCGCAAGAATGATTATGAAGGAAAGACATATTTAGTTTGAAAATATATCTTTGATATTTTTTGGTTTTAGACTAAGTTTTTTCGCAGCTTTCACTTTAGCAGTTAATGGTGGAATGAACGATGTCAATCGTTTTCTTTTAGTTTTATACCCAGATCCAGTCATGTTAAATTGATCAATTTTCTCATCAGCCTTTCGTTTTAAATTCGTACTAACTTGCTTTAGACGATCTTTTATTGAGGCTTCCATAGGACGGGCTTGAACCATATCCGATAAAAGTCCTACTCCAGCGCTTAATGCCTCCTTACCAATCACTCGAGCACCACTTGAAAGTAAAGGTAAAACTGATCTGAATAACCCCCCTAAGAAGCTCCCAATACCATGACCGCGTTGATATGGTGAACCCTTATAAATTACTCCAACTCCTGATCCAGCTTGATGTGTATAATAATTTTCATATGGACATTTATGATGATCACGAAGAGAATTCATTATTATAATTTTCGGAAATGTAGTTTAATACACACGGTTCCAAACTGGAATGGTATTTTTTGTCCTGTACTCGATCTTATAACTATTTCCAACGTATCGAACTCTCTTCGCATAACAGGTAAGTAGTGAGGTTGAGAGAAAACGTGCATTTTATTTGCACCATAAATGTATTTTGTAGGATCTAATGAAATGACTCTTAATAAAGGAGTCATAACATCACCCACAATCTGAGGATCGATAATGTCGCAATATGGAAATAGTTGAGATGGTAACCCTAAGTGTAAATTAGCAGGACACTTTCCAAAATTTCTCTCTAGGAGATTTTTATTTGGTTCATAACCTAGCTGTAAACTTAATTTGGGTGATAATGTTACGGATGTTATATTTTTATCCAATACCGAAATAGACACAAATTTTGTTATTTCATCATAGCGAAATTTCAAGTTCTCTCCGATACCATTTAACACTCTTAAAATATGCTCAACGTTATCATAGTTGGTAGCTGGAATATGTTTTTTGTAGTACACTGTGGATGGCTTATCTTCATTAGGCATTAACATAGATTTTGTAATGTATATAACATTTTCATGGTCTTGAACAGTAAACATGGTACATGGATATTGAAACTCGACAACTCCAACCGACCATTCACCTTCTAATTTTATAGCTTTTGGTAATTTCGTTGAAAAATTTGTGGTCTTGTTATCAGGAAAGTATTCCATTGAACTATTGCTGAGCAAAGTTAAATAGAAACTTTCTTTATTCATATTTCTTTTAAACTAGAAGCTAAAATCCAACTGTTAAATTTATCTGGATAACCTTTCCACTTCACTAATACTTCTTTTCTGTTACTTGAATAACGAGTGTCAATTATTTTATCTATTTTATGTTGTGAGGTGGGGTTGTAAGTGATTTTCTGTAATTCTCTTTCATAAAAAGTACCAATTATTGGTTCATTTTGTAAATCTGTTATTGTATAAACAACCCATGGAGATCTATCAATTATTGAAGATATAATAAATATTTCATCACTCCAATTTAATTCATATCCTTTTTGGAATACATGTTTATATTTAGTTATTCGAACATAATCACCCACATTGAAATTTGGTTTAGGATTTTCTAAAGAAAGTTTTTTTGACCGTCTATCATAAAGATTAGTCCAAACTGTCATAATATTGTTGGAATTTACATCACATGGGCACATCTTAATACTAGAGTGAAAGCTGTGATTATAAGAGTATATTAAATCTTGTAAAACATCTATATATCTATAAGTATTATTATGAGTGAAATAACGCCACATTTTCATTTTTAGTGTTCTTTGAAATCGTTCAACAATACTGGCCTTAATGTCAGGATTGTTAGTGGTATAGTAATTAATCTTTTTGGATTTAAAGTATTTTTGTACATCTTTTGAAACAAATTCTGTACCTTTATCGGATTGTATGTGAGTAGGTGTTAAATTACTTTCAGTAAATATACTTTCAAAACATTCTTTAGTTGTTTCTGAGTTTTTCTTTTTCATTGGTCTTGCAAAAGCATATTTACTAAATACATCAATAATACAAAGTATATACTTGAAACCATCATTATATTGAGAATAAGTTCGCATATCACTTAAATCAGCTTGCCACAGTTCATTAATATTTGATATAATGTACCTATTACGCGGGAATTTTTTTCGAATGGGTTTATGTAATGTGTATGTTTCTTGTGATTTTAACCATTCCTTTACTTGCTTTTTATTCATTTTACCCTTCATGGCTTTTGATAATTTATCAATACTACCAAAACCAGCGGGATTAGATGGATCATAATAAATCCTGTTAATTTCTTCTAGTACGGAGTCCATTTTTCCCACTCAAGTCCTTTACGTATTTTAGTTGTAGACTTTTTATCTCTACTGCACGGTGTAGAAAACTCTTGAACTTCAATCTCAGAGGGTTTGTTCAGATCTTTTGCTTGAAGTTGGTTAATAAACTCACATCTCCTTGGATTTCCAATATAAGTAAGTGGTACTTTAATATCTTTTAATGCTTCAGCAAATCTAACCCACCCTACCGGATCACTTCTTTTTAGGGGTCTTAGTGAATCATTTATTAAATCAACAATATTACTTCCAGGAATTTTTTCACTATCAATTATGACTGTACCTTCGTTATCCCAATGTATTTTACTTTTACTTGTTTCAACTAAGTTTAATAATAACTGCCCTTTTTTATGATAAGTTTTTGGTATTAAACTGAGTATTTGAGCTGGTGTGTAAAGTGGATTTTCATCATTTTCTTTACTTTTAATGGATCGATTCTCCTCCAGCAAAGATTCAATATCAACTGAAGTTTTTAGATCTCTATCTTTATTTTTAAAACCAATTTTTGACTCATTTGAATCTTCATTAGATGTATCAGAATAAATTGGTAATTTGAGTGGTTGACGATCCTCTTCGGTAAAATGAAGGTATCTTTGCAGTGTTTGTAAATATAATATCCATTTCTTTCGGTCTTCCGTCTTACTATTCATAATATTTTGCATTTCAATATCTAATCGAGATAAATTACTATTAACCTTATTTTCTTGTTTTAATTTTTCAATCAATCCAGGTTCGATAAGTATCATTTTCTTTGCATTTTCCATGTTAACTGGCTAGTCCACTCACTAATCCACTCAATATTGCACCTAATATTGTTGGTAAGAAAGCCCCTCCTTTTTGTATAATTATATTTTTTCTTAGTTTATGTTTACACTTACGTACTAGTTTACGGAGTATGTTTTTATGTTTATTCAATTTTTGTTTATCCTGATCTTTAAGAGGTACTTTTCCTTGTAAAACGTTATGAATACACTCACAAATACAGTTAATTTCTTCTTCATCACACGTTTTAAGTAATGCTCTTTGATATTTTGGTTTAAGCGTATGCAAAGCGGTTAGCAAATGTTTATACGTTGTGAGTCGACGATGCATCATTTAGCAATGATTTCAATTGTTTGATTCTTGGTGTATTTAAACTCTTTTGTGGGGACGTAGACTGTACAGAAACCATTAAATGGAAAGACATTTGTCTTGATACGACAAAAATCATTGGTATTCTGTTTTAAATCTACCATTAAATATCCATGCGCCTCTAGAGTTGCATCCCTATAGGCATTTTCAATGAATTTTGGGTTATCTGGTGATACTTGTCTTGCTAAATATCTTATTTGAGTTTTATCTCGAGGGTTTTTAAAATATATTATATAACTTGAGTTTAAAGATATGTCTCTTTGTCCTTTACCCTGATGAAATAAATTTTGTGTTAGATAAAATACACTAAGATTCCTGTGATGACTACCTTTTGTAAATATATCCACAATTCTTCCATCGGACTCTCTCATTAGATCATCAATAATAACAAGATGTGGGTTTTCACCATCAAACATATTAAGATTTGGAATTCCTTGATGATAGTTAACATTTGGTAAATTATATAATGGTTGCATTTCATCAAAGCACCATGTGATCTGATTAAAATCACAATTACATATTTCTGTAACTGATTTTATGAAATTTGTTACAAAATTTGACTTCCCACACCCACTTGGTCCTGCCACAATAGCAGTGAACGGATGGATAAAGTGAAACATAACACACGTCTAAAGTTCAAAGGGGTGAAATAAAAAATGAAAGTGTTGGTGTAAACAATTAATATATATTCCAAAAATTATATAAAACAGAATTATCTGTATACTATTTCTAACACAATTAGTACATCATAATTTTACAATTAACTCAACCTCAAATAAATAGAAACAACAATTAACTTAAATTATTTACAATAAAACAATGATTAAATATGTAATAAACTACGCCATATTATAGTATTATCATAATTTTACAATCAATATAAATTTTTCTTAAACGCAGACATAAAAGTAAAAACTATCAACACTTAACGCAGTTTATAATGACCCCAAGCTAATGTTTCAATATTATTATCTAAAATATGTCTCTTTGTGTCATTATATGATAAACCTATCTTATTTAATTTTTGTGTGAAAATTGTGTGTTTAATTGATTTAAATCTAAGCATACTATAATATTGCACTTTTTTATTAAATAGAGAAGACTTATAACTATTCATTGTCATCTTTTTAGTGATACATTTATTTACCCCTTTTGCCTTGGCTATAGTCTTATTCTCTAAGTTAAAAGCGTACATTTTGGATCGTAAACCCACAAATTCTTTCATGATTTTACCATTATTTTCATCTTTAAAAAAACCTAATTTCTTTTTATTTAATTTTGGATATTCAAAAATATTATTTGTATCATAATCTGAGGTATCAAAGTACGATGAAAGGTCAGGTTTTATATCAGTGTAAAAATCATTTGTAAATATATGATATATTAAACTATCCGTATCTGTATACAATAATTTGATTTTACTAAACTTTTTAATCATATAGTTATAATGAAAATCATACATTAATGTTTTTGAAATATCTAAAATGCAAAACCCTAAATAAATTGGTTTGTTATATATTAACTTCGTTTTTCGCAACTGAACCGCAACTAGGTTTTCCGAAAATATTGAAAGGCTATGAAATTGTGGTTTAGCGATTAGATCTTGAGCACCTAAAGCTTTACCCTGGTTCTCCCAGTGCGTAACTAATTTTATGTTAACCCTTTTTTCAATATTCTCCATAGTCTTACCGAAGACTGAATTATTCATTAATTTATAAAAATCTTTTTCGAAATCTGATTTTGCTAAAGTTCTTAATTTTGTGTTTAGATCTATGTACATCTTCAACCAGGGAGACTGTTTAAATTTTAAAACTCTATGAATTTTAGTTAATTTAACCCCCATTTCTATGCACTGCTTTAAATTTCTGTAATGAATTACATATTTATCTTTATTATTTAAATTTGGGACTAGTTTATTCTCATTAATATTGCCTACACAAATGTTTTCTGGACATAAAGGAAAGTCCGAATGTAAATCATGAAGTTCATCTGGATATTCCAAATCAACTTCTAAAATAAAACCGAAGTCTGATGTCTTAGACACATTAAATTCTGTATTTGGATTTACCCATTCGAATCCACCAGTAGGAAGATATTGAGACATAGCCCAACCATATAAATTGTTGGCATCAAAATATGTGATATATGAATTTGGTTTCCCTGTATCATAATCCTCCATGTATTTGTTATTAGCTCTAGCATAACGATTACTACATTGAGATACACCACCTCTGATACCTGATCTAATAAATGCAATTTTCTCATAATCTGTTAAAAGTTCTAATTCTATTTTTGTATATTTTAACATTGCATCCCAACTTAAACCGGGTGCTGTGTAATAATGGACAGGGTCTAAATCATATGTATTAATACATAACTTTCTAAAGTTTTCAAATACATCGGATAAAAGTAAAACGTCTGTTTTTAAATACAGGTTTGAATAATCTAGCATATTACAACACCCAAAATGTTCCCAAACATCTTTAGCATGATTGTAATCATCATTTGAAATATGTGAATCTGTGAGTGAACTATAAAAACATTTTTGTTCAGGGAGCGATGTTAGACTTAAACTATCATAATTAGTCATAAGTTCATATGGATAAACACCTTTCCGTTTTAAACGAAAGAAATCTTCATCATTAGGGTAATTTCTACGTAATTCTTGAAATTGATCATTACTGAGATTTTTGGCCAATTCTTCTAATTTACACGATAAAAACTTAAATGAATCTAAGAATCTCAATATAATTTCGTGGTTATTCACTTTTAATTTTTTGGAAAAGGATATATATTTTTCTTTATTTTGAGGGATAACTTCGACTTCACCATCACAAAAGTTTAACGCGTGAACAATAAAATGAGCATCATAGTGACTAAGGTTGTGTAAAAATATTGGTATATAACTAGGTGTTCTGATCTTCGAACAACATGATTCATGAGCAACACCTATAAAACTACCAGTGTACCAATCAAAATCATAAAAATGTTTTGCCAACTCAGTTTCACAAATATGACAAATGGTTGCAATTGAAATTTGGTTTTTGTCTTCATTTGTTAGCGGAAGTGGTGGATATTTTTGAAGTCTATTTATTTCTTTTAGATTGTTAGATAAACTTTCCATAAACACTTGTGCACAGTTGGGTCCGCAATATGTTACATATTTTGATAATTTATCATCATATGAACATTTTATATAATATCCAAAACTATGTACTTCATGTTTCTGAATATTATGAGTGAAAGGTTTGGAAGGATCGTTAGAACATGATTCTATTGGTTTTAAAAATGCTTCAAAATCAGCATAAACTACGAATGGTATCTTTAACTTTTTTTCATAACTATCAAATTTAATTTTATTATTTGAAATAGGTTGACCAAACCAATTCTTTTTTTTTAAAGTTTCACTGTTTGGTAATACTGTACAAATGTGGGCACAATCGTATTGTTCATGGTTATTTAACCTTTCCTGAGATGGAAAACGAAGTAGACATGCTTCACAAATGTACATGATGTGACCGTCTTTTGAAATTTGTTTACTAACTAACCGCGATAAATTTTTTATATAGCAATAATGATTTTTTGTATCCTTGGAAAAAAATAATAAATTGATATGTCTATCTTTACGACACTTTGTTAAAAATAATGGACCTACTATAGAATTACATCGTTTTTCTTTATTATATTCTAACCCAAAAACATTAATACTAATATCATTTAATTTCTCTACTTTTGCTATGTCAGAAATTTTAACCGGAAAGGAAATACCATCAAATTTAAGTTTATTTGCATGTTTAACGTACGATGATACCCGATCGGTGTGTTTGTTTACAGGATATAACGCCGAGAGTAACGCCCATTTAAAACAAAAATAATCCTTGTTTTTTACATTTATAACAGCCTTTTTTAATTTTATGTCACGAGGAAGATCTATGTATGAAGTACCGCGTAGGGGGTTAAATTAATTAACATTCATGTCTATAGATTTTATGTTTTTTAGACTCCATCCACTATCTTTTTTTTCGAAAGCACTAATTTTAGTAGTAATTGTATCATTTAAAGATGAAAGAAAAATATTTAAGTCATCTCCTTGACAAATAATATAGTTAAGCGTTTGAAAATCGAACGTATCATGAATATCTTTAGTTTGTTGAACAAAATCAGCATGCAATATGAAGTTTACCTTAAAAATTATGTGTTGATGAATACACTCTTGTAATAAAAATAAAATATCATCTTTAATAGAATTTAAAAATAGTTCAGGAGTTTCAAAATTTACCCATGTCGAACGATCTACTCTACTCTTGATTTTATAAGTTAAAATCCTATTTCCAAAAGCAGATTCAATAACACTAACGTTTGATAAAGAATTATGTGAATTTAAAAGATTATTTTTATGAACATTACTTTTAAAATGATTAGCTAAATACCGTTTCTTGATAAATATATGGCACGTTGGACATTCCACTTGATCATCGTTACTGATACTGTTCCCTGCAGAGGTATGCGCTTCTGCTTCCGTTGTTGGTTTTTTAATGATCTTGGATTCTTTGCTGCACGTTCGCTTCGTTCCTCTTCCAAGTTGTAGTGGTTGACTGCTAAAATGTTTAAATTTATTAAAAACTGTATAAGACAATATGTAAATTATGATCGAAATGAATGTTTATTTTACATACTTAAACTGTGTTTCAACCATCGCACAGTGATGATACAACTCATCATCGTATAAAGAATCGAACAGTTGACCCCTCTCCATTTCTTCACAAACTTTAGACAACTCCTGATTTAATTCGCTATTGAATAGTTCCGTATTCTCTTCCATGATTGTGGAGAAAAAAGCACTGGTGCACACTTCACTGAAGTTTTCCCTTCCTCTTTTTTATTTTTGATTCAGCTTCAAAAAAATGATCAATCGATTGCGATTTTCTTTTTCCACCATCGCATGTGTTATTCGATTCACACCCCTCAAGAAGAGAGTAATGACGAGGTCATCACTCTCTTCTTGAGGGGAGAGTGGCGAGTAGTAATACTGTTTATAGGTATCTTCATCGAAGCTCAATGATTTCTGCAACAACACAGTTATCATGTTAATATCAATTTGTTAACACTTAATCATAAAAGTTAAAAAAGTTAAAGTTACAGCCTATTAAAGTCCACTGCTGAACATAGGCCTCCTCTCATTTCTGAGAGGGTTTTAGAGCAAGGAAATGTCCGCCGCGCTCCCTCAATGTGTGTTGGCGAACTTCACATGCCTTCGAAATTTTCTCAGACATGCAGGTTTCCTCACGATGTTTTTCTTCACCACCAAGCACGTGGTAATAAGCACTTAAAATTGCTATTAACAATTTAATTGGTGCTGGCGGGGATCGAACCCGGGTCGCGTACTGTGAAATTTACAGCTAGCGCTAACCATCTGAGTTACCACGGCTTAATCATATACATACACAATATTTAAATAAAATAATACACACACATGAAAATAACAGAAAAAAAGTAATTTAGTCAATAGAATAAACACTTACATCCATAGCCTTTGGTGTATTGAAGTAACACAAATGTACTATTGATAGATCCACTGTAGCCAAACGACCGTACACTAACTCGATGACTGCGTTTGTTGGTCTTATATACCACCAGTACGTAAAAATTCTAATCTAAAGTATTTCCGTAATGAGTTGATAATTACTTTATGCGTCAACCAGTTTATCTCACATTTCCGTTGCCTATCTCAACATTTCTTCGTATTGTGTTTTGTTTGGTGATCAATGACTCAAGTACGATTTGTATAACACAAAAATGCAATTTAATATTTAGAAACATATCAGTTTATCTCACATTTCCGTTGCCTATCTCAACATTTCTTCGTATTGTGTTTTGTTTGGTGATCAATGACTCAAGTACGATTTGTATATCACAAAAATGCAATTTAATATGTAGAAATCACTATAATTGACCATTCCTATGTTATTCATTGAGTAGCTAGGTACTGTAATAATCTACTAATAGCAGTAATATCATGGATACACTAGATGTACAACAACATCTGAAAAAGATTCACCCCAGTCTAGAAAATAATGTTTATGCAGCTAATAGACTGCCTATGTATACCCACGTACCAACGTATATAATATGTAATTTGGATACAGATGATAAACCAGGGTCACATTGGGTAGCTTTATATATCGATACGAATGACGTCGGTCAATATTTTGATTCATATGGACGATCACCTGTACGATATCATCTAGAGTTTTTAAAAAGGAATTGTAAAAGATGGAACTGGAATGTTGATAGGATTCAGAATGAGTGGACTTCAGTTTGTGGCGAATATTGCTTAATGTATTTGCTATACAAGTTTCAAGGATGTTCAATACATAGTTTTACGAGTATATTTACAAGGAACACATTGTACAACGATATTTTAGTGGATGAGATGTTTCGCTCCTATTTTATAGATAATAATTAATAAGATTTTGTATTTTATAAATAAAAATTGTAACAAAATTATGTAATGTGTTTTATTGATGATTCAGATTAGCGTTGTATAAACAAAGAACTATAACACAATAGCACTGATATAGTCGACGCACACGCTGCAATGAAGGTTAATGAACAATAGAACAATAGAAATAGGAAGAATGGGACGCTAATGACGGTGGAGGCCCTTACCGGATATTAGATATTAGCTAATTGATCTACACAACTCCGGAACCGTGCATTCTACACAAAAATGGACCGCGGATTCGTGATCAGAGCATGCCAAAACCTTTTTTTTTTTTTTTTTTTTTTTTTTTTTTTTTTTTTTTTTTAGGATCGGGCGTCGACGAACGTCGTTGAACCACGTCTGACTCAGGTGGTCTAGAAGTGGTACAACTACACTACTTGTAGATGTCTATGGGCCGGAGCAACCACTTACCATCAGGTGGACTGTGTGCTCGTTTGTCACCCTTATCTTATAAAAAAAAGCTTTTTACTATATGCATATGAAAGTATATACGGTAATTATAACAAAAATACGATTTTTAAAATTATTGTCTGTTTGTCTTTTTGTCTGTCTGTCTGTTCCGGCTAATCTCCGAAACGGCTGGACCGATTTTGACCGCACTTTCACTGCCAAGTAGCTGATGTTATTAGAAGTAACTTAGGCTTAGGCTTCTATTTTAGAAAAACAATTCTAGTCTTTGCATTATAGCATGGTGCGGGTGACAGCTCACGCCTATGAAGTTTCGTATTTTTTTGATAAACTGTCAAACAGATATTGTTGTACTTCATGGGTGGGTACCGCCCACTTACGACAGTGATGTGCCACGCTAATCTATGCTATGCCATAACGAACAACCACAGACTTAAAAATTGGTTTTGAAATAAATCGAATATGTATATAAAATCACGTAAATATGTATTATAATTGGAACTAATCGTTCAACAAATTCTGATTTACGGAAACAAAACTCACATAGACGATTATGCAGTATTTCCGATGCATTGACGATAAATTATTCGTTGGTCAGCTCAGGCAAAAAAATAATAATTATACAGCAAATTAAGTATTGTGTCAAAAAGACTTTATCATAACTCATGGCGGCCATAATGGCTACAAAAAACCTATTTTTTTATTTTTATTTCATTAGATTTATATACCAAATTCTCGATTATTTTTACCTTCCGTTCCGATATTTGGCCCATTGGACCTGGCAAAACTAATACATATATAACAAAAGGCGCTAGCACTCGTAGCGTTCAAATTAATACATAATATAATCTACATATTGAGGTGTCTGCTTGTAATATCAAGATAATAGCCTTTTACTAAATACACATGACAGTATATACGGTATTTATAACTAAAAGACAAAAACAATTTTTAAAATGTTTGTCTCAGTGTCTGTTTGTACCGGCTTATAGATAGCACTGACAGATAGCTGATGTTATAAGCAGTAACACAGGCTTATTTTATTTTAGGAAAAAAATTAGGATTCCGCGCAAAAAATTAATACCCATGAAATCCAATCGTAATAAATACCAAGCGGGCGAGGTCCGGCAACAGCTATTATGTAACTATGATGTCATAATTTGTATTAAACTTTAACTTAATTTTACATGCATTGTAGTTTATAAAAAAATATATGTTTCGGTTTGAATTTTTATATCGACAGCTAATCGATCATTTTTGCTTTGCTTTGTGTGTCGTTAATCGCCTTTTTTAAATCGATTTAACAATGTTCCATCTCTAGACACGCCAAAAGTGTAAGCTGTCACCCGCACCATGCTATAACGCAAAGACTACAGGGTTCCGCGCAAACCCATGAAATCCAATCGTAATAGATTACGCGCGCGCGAAGTCGCGGGGAACAGTTAGTAAAAAATAAAATTATTCACTCAAGAATACCACACTATTGTACTATTGTACAGTATCACAAACTATTATCTACTATACAAAGACATTGTCTTAAAGTCTAAAGTACTAATCAGATAAGCATTTTTTTCAACATCTGCTTAACAGGGGTTAATATAAATATAAATTAATATATGCACATAAGACTGTATTTTAACAGTACTCTAGTGCAACCAATAATCTAAATAATTTAAAATAAAAAAAAATTGTAGAACCGACTTCAATATAAATTTTTAATAATAACTCAAAAACTATTGGTCAGACCTTGATGATTTATATGGGACCTCATGGGAAGCACCAGCTTTCAAATAAAAAAGAATCATCGAAATCGGTACACCCAGAAAAAAGTTATGAGGTAACACATAAAAAAAAAACATACAGTCGCCTTGAGTAGGTACCTCCGCCTTTTTGAAGTTGGTAGGAAAGTGCATTTTAGTGGTTAATTCTAACAAGACGTGTAGAGGCGGCGTTGGAGAATTGACTAACCCAAGTGACCCCGTGGGTACTGTAAGAGGCGACAGAGGGAAACTGAAAGAGTACCTAGATGGTCAGCTGCATCTTCCTGCCACCTTACCAAGGCTAGCAACTATGGCAAATATTATACCCAATAAGGTAATCTGTGTTGGAGGGCTATCAATGCATAAATGAGAAATGAGCAATGAATAAATAAAATAACTAACATAGGAATATTTTTCAACATCTACTTAGCAATACCCCATTTATGTGCGACTATATTTTAAATCTACTGCACTCTATGGTACAGAAAATTTGCATTGTAATGGTTTATTCAGGAAGGAATGTATATTTCATTTAAATAATTTTTTAAGGTTTTTTAGGAAAAATACAGTTATTTACAATCAATTGTTTTTATACATTTATGAAAAAGACAATCATCACAAAGTTTTCACATGTAGATTAGAAAATACATAGAGTCGCATGCTAAGAAAGTTTGCGATAGAGCAGACAAACAGTTATTATCTCTTAAACCAATTAGATTATAAAGATGTTATTTGCCTTATGACCGTTCGGTAGCAATATAAGATAATCCATCAACCCATTCGGTCCCTCAGCTGTCGGAAAATCATCAATCCGCCTATCAAGCATGAGGATTCACGCAAATCCTCTAAACAGAGAGACACAAAACAGGACTTTTCTGGACCGAATGATGATGAAGAAGAATTTGCTTAAAATATCTCTATTTGCATAAGTCTTCATTTTTAAATATTCTCTATGCCACAGGATAAATAATTGTCTATGCCTCAGTCTTTCCGATTATTCTAGCATTATCTAGAAGTCTTTTAAACCGTATCCCCAAAGTAAAGCTTTATTAAATACTTATGCAAGCCTAAAAACATGAATTTATATAATGACCTTTGAAATAGTACATTCAAATTGTA